ATTTCCCCCATCCCTTCCCCTATCCCCATCTTCCCATCCTCTTCAACAACTGTCGCTCTGATTGTGAAATTTCCTTCAAGACTGCCAAATTTCATTTTCCAATGACATTCATAATCTACTCTTAAGGGTGGTCCTGAAAACTCAATCCTTGTAACGCGAAGACGCGTCATCAATGGACCGCCTGCTAGCGCTGAAAGATTGATGAGGAAAGCCTCAGTACTACTAGATTCGGCCTGAAGATTTCGAATTACTTGTTTGCAGATTTTAGATGCTTCATCTATAGAGCATCGTTGGATTGAGTTTCCAGCTACATCGTACCATTCGGCGACAAGGATTTCGCCTATAAAGTGAGACTCTAGAGCATCGATGTTGGTGCGATCAAAATCTTCGTTTTGACGAAATGCTATGCTAACAAAGTGTTCAAAGCTAGGGTCCGAAGGTCCGTTGATGGGGTTGTTGAAGTACTCCATTAACGATGTTTGTTGAGATTGGCTCATTAAATCATGCTGCATATTCGTATCGGCCTCACCATTGAGGAGTACGACAGGTGGTGGTGGTGTCGCTAATCGAACATTGCCACCTTTTCTTTGTGGGACTTGCAGTGAAAGTCGATTTGGTCTAGAATTTTGAGTTTGTGGATTGCTAACATGTGGATTGCTAACATGTGGATTGCTAACATGTGGATTGCTAACATGTGGATTGCTAACAGGTGGATTGGCTTCGACGCCCGCGGGAAAGAAATTTGGAATTTCAGAATCTGCTACTGTAGGTGTAGCACTTGGTGTGTCCCTTATAGAACCAGGATTGGCAGGGAAAGTCGAGAAAGGGCCATCAGTAACAGAACGATTGCTCGGTGGTCTGCCCCGTAATTTTCCAGCCGATGTACTACCATTGCTTGGCCATGCTGATGATACCGCAGGACCATGACGACGTCTAGATCGTGATTTATTTGGCGTTGTAGCAGACTGAGGTTCATTACTATCCGGCCAAAGATGTGTTCTGGTTGAGGGTGTAAGAGCCGATTGTGGATAAGCTGATAGAGGAGTTGCACTTTCGGGTGGAGCACCCCATCTAAAATTATCCACTAAAGAACCTCGAACTTCTGTTGCAGACCATGGACTCAATCGGGAATCAAAGCCTTGCTGAAATGAAGAAGTTGCTGTCGCTGAAGTAGCACTATCTGGATGCAAAGAAGCTCTAGTAATCATAAATTCTTCGGACAAAGTAGGCGAATGTAAACGAGGACGCTGAGACGGTGATCTTCCCATGTCATCATCCTCCCTGTCTTCAGCCTTCTTTCTCCCGCGCTTAGGCCTTGTCTCTGGAAGCAAAGCACGAAGAGCCAAATCTTCATCAGCAGTAACCCCATCTCGGCCAAGCTCAGATGGTGGTTCATTAGGTGGTGGTACTTGCGTCCAATATACATGGGGTTTATTCAATAAATATTCAAAGAAAGCATCAACATGCATTGCATGCAACCATCGCTAGATATCGTTAGCTCAACATTCGAGTTTCTAAGATTAACTTATATACCTTGAGCCTAACCGCATACTGTTGTACCTTCTGAGCACTTTGACCTTTCTCCAAAGCAGGAGGCTCAACTCCTAGGTCTATTGCCAGTTGTGCCCATGTTTTAATCTCCTTGTTCTCTAATTTACGAATCAATTCGAATAATATAAAAGTGCTGAAACTCTTGTTATCACTTTTTGGGGGCGCCCGGAATATTCGCCTGAGTTCAGCAGTATCTGTGTCTGCTGCCACAGTAGGATTGCAGTACATGATGAAGCCTACGTAGGCATCGTCAAAATTCTCGTCTGTAACTTCTCTCGAAGGTAGAGTTCGAGAATTCTGCTGATTTGGAGCTAAATTCCCCAATGATGAAGATTGTACCTGATGCTCAGGCATCACCCTATCATGAGCATTTGAACATGATGCTTGACTGTGAGCTTGAATATATTGTTCACCTCCTTGAGGTGCAATTGGGGCATATTTACTCTCCAATCGACGTTTTGTAGGTTCAGAGATCATTGCAGGAACATTAAGGACTGGGAGCATTCTCCCACTTTTGAGTTATCAAATAACCCACCCAGGCTAATTTCTAGTAAAGGAATGAAAATATTTCGGTTTTTCGAAAAAAGAAAGATGTGAGACGTCTTTTGATGATCAGATGATGAATTGATAGAAACAATGAAATTTACTCCCAATTTCAAAAAGGTTTCCAAAGAATAAAAAAACAAAACCAAAAAAGGTTGTGAAAGACACGTTTTCCCCTTTCTGCCAAATAATGATATGATACCTTGTGCTACAATTGAAGCGTCAGCTGAAAAGTAAGAAGATTTGAAAGTTAGAAGCAAATGATGTTGGGTATCTAATTAAAACAAATGAAGAAGTGCTGGAATGGATATTCTGGATATATTTCGCGACAGGTTAAAGAAAAAGGGGGGTATATATGAACTAGAGTAGCGTTGACGAGAATTGTAGATAATTGATGATAATTTGATGTTAATAATAAGTGAAAGTTTGATATGATTGAGGTTTAATTCCCATCTCGCGGATTACTAATCACAGATAAGAATATATATTTGCACGTGACTGAGATCTCAATCTCACATGTGTGTTGTGTTGTGCTGTGCTGGCTGTAATTAGGTAATTGAAAGTGGGGCAAATCTCGGGGATGTTGTAAATGCAAGGGGTTCCCACATTACCTCGGTAAGTCGCCTTTCCTTTGATAGGTATGCAACCTGACAATGCACATCTGATGCAGAGAGAGGACTTCATTATTATCGTGACGAGTTAATTCCATCTTTCTTCATTCCTCACGTCTTTTATACAAATCATTATTATTATTACATCTCCTTTTGTCAATTGACTCTCCTTTATCAAGACTCCATCATCACCATCACCACCATCGCCATCGTCGTCGCCATCTATTGTAATACCTACATGCAAATCAATCATGGCGACTCAGCAGTCAGATAATGTTGCTCATGCTCTTTCCGGTGCTGGTGGGGGCATTCTTTCCATGGCTCTTACGTATCAGACCCCTTTCCTTCTCCGCCTTTTCAATGTTAACAATTAGAAGCTATCCTCTCATTACACTGTCTACACGCGCCCAAGTTGAATCAAAACGTGCTGATTCGGGATTCCTCGACGCTGTAAAGCACATCATGGAACGTGAGGGTGTTAAAGGCCTTTATGCTGGGCTCGATTCAGCACTATTTGGAATTAGTGTCACAAACTTTGTATATTACTACTGGTATGAGTGGACTCGCTCGGCTTTCGAGAAGACGGCACTCAAGACTGGTCGAGCTTCAAAGAAACTTACAACAATTGAATCGATGATCGCCGGAGCAATCGCAGGCTCAGCGACAGTCTTGCTCACAAATCCAATTTGGGTGGTTAATACGCGAATGACCACACGAAAGAGAAATAAGGAGACGGATGGCAGTTTTTTGCCTGGTGTAAAGCCATCAAACGCTCCTACAACGCTTGGCACATTGCTTGCACTTCTTAAAGATGAAGGTCCACAGGCACTCTTTTCCGGGGTTTTACCCGCACTGGTACTGGTTATCAATCCAATATTACAATACACAATTTTCGAGCAGTTGAAGAATTTCATTGAGAAGAAGAAGAGAGTCACTCCAACATTGGCATTCCTTCTAGGGGCGTTAGGGAAGCTCTTTGCTACTTCTATCACATACCCTTATATCACCGTCAAGAGTCGCATGCACGTCGCCGGAAGAGACGGAGGAAAAGAAAGTATGATGCAGGGCATGAAACGTATTTTGAAGGAAGAGGGCTACGAGGGATTCTACAAAGGTAGAGATTTCTCCTCATTATAAAGACATGTCACTAACTTTTCCCCAGGAATTGCCCCCAAAGTGTCACAAAGTGTTTTGACCGCTGCATTCCTATTCGCCTTCAAGGACGTTTTGTATGAACAGACCATCAAACTAAGGAAGAACCTTCCTGCAAGATAGCTGCGAAGCAAATTTTGGGTTTGGTCTGGACTAACAATGCTTTTGGAGCATGAATCCAATTGTAAGTTATGGCATCGCCTGGAATGTATATACATGGTATTTGAACTGTTTAGGAGAGGCGTCGGAATATACCTGCGTTGGAGACGAGGCCAGGATGAATTGATTCTACTGTATTTACTAGAAAGGGTCTTACACGGATAAATAGAATGGCTAGATTCGGTTGTATCTATAGATCAAGGCAATGATTATGAGGTCGGGAATCACAATGGAGTACGGGGATAAATTACTTGAAACGTTCAAGTGTGGTCTGAAATAATGAGAAGACCATTGATCCGTTCGGACACACATTTTAAACTCCAAATCTCCAAGAAAGCGATTAGCTCAGTGCCTGACGTAAAATTCCAAAAGATTGCACAAGTGCTGCTTGTAAAATTATTTGATTTGATCCACTTGTGTATCATGTGATCATGCGAAATGCAAACACGATGTCGGGCTTGCTGGGGTTTTTTTTTTCATCTTTGTTTACAGACAACACACGATAATATTTGATATGCGATTACTACAAAGTTTTCGTTTCTCACATGCCTTGACTAGAAGGAAGTATCAATCATTGATCTCCCATACGCAAACTATGGCAAAATCTACGGAGGTCGATGAATATGGATTCAGTTCTAGCGATGAGGCAGATTTACTAGATTTGACAAACGCGGTAGATGCTGCCAGTGGCAAGCAGGGCCAGAAGCGTAAAGCTCCCTCCGAGCAGACTTCGCCAGTTATCAAGAAACAGGCGACTGAGGCATCTCACAAGGTTCTTGAATCGGCAATCTCTGCACTGAATCGCAATTTCGGTTTCAAATCCTTTCGTTTAAAGCAAGAGCAAGCCATATCAAGAATTCTTGCTGGTGAAAGTGCTGTTGTTGTCTTTCCCACTGGAGGCGGAAAAAGTCTTTGCTTTCAAGTCCCGGCACTTGCTTTCGAAGAGGAAGATAAGCGTCTCAATACTCGTGACGAAGGCGACCATGGCAGTGAGTGAAACATAAAGGTGTTGTGCGGTAATACTGTGCACAACCTCTTGTGAATTAAGGGATCAGATCTTTTGCTTTGAACATCGGCCTCTTTTTCGTATTTTGTTAATTCCTTGCATACTTTCGAGCAGAAAACTAATCCTAGTGACCCGCAGTCACCCTAGTAGTATCGCCACTGATAGCATTGATGAAAGACCAAGTGGATGCCCTTGTTCGTCGTGGCATTGCTGCGGCAACATTCGACTCAAGTAAGACGAGAGAAGAATATATTCAAACATGCGAGGCATTGAGAAAGGGAAAATTGAAGTTACTTTATGTAGCACCCGAAAGGTTGAACAACGAGGGTTTTGTGGAGCAAATGAAGTATGTCCGGGGAGGTATCAGATTACTTGCAGTTGACGAAGCGCATTGTATCAGCGAATGGGGCCACAGCTTCCGTCCAGACTACCTAAGTTGTTCCCTCAAATTCTATTAGAATTGCATTTGTGCTAACTATTGGTAGAGATCGCCCGTTTCGCTGAGGAAATCCAAGCAGAGAGAGTCGTTTGCCTGACTGCTACAGCTACGCCTCGTGTTGCCAAGGACATCTGCCATGCATTCAACATCAAAGACTCTGGGCTCTTTCGAACTTCCACCTACCGACCCAATTTACGATTATTGGCAGAGTCAGGAGATAGGAAGGTAAATATGCTACCTAAGCTCAAAGACTTTCTACACAATCACAAAGGCTCGACGATTATTTACGTTACTCTGCAGCGGCAAACCGAGGATCTTGCACAAATATTAGTGGAGGCGGGCTTCAAAGCCAAGGCCTTTCATGCAGGAATGCAAACTGAAGCTAAAACAAAGCTGCAGGACGAGTTTATGAGGAGTGATGACATGATTATGGTTGCAACGATAGCCTTTGGCATGGGAATTGACAAGGGCGCCATTCGCAATGTTATTCATTTTAGTGTCCCTCAAAGTCTGGAGTCTTATAGTGAGTACATTTCCTCTCAGCTTTTCTCTTCAACGGGCTTCAGTCGCCTTGACAGCATTTCGCATCAGCCTTCGCTATCCGCTCGATTTTAAAGAGATAGACTTCCGAAATGACTTGATATAATCGAATGGCATAAAGCGTACCGTGCTGATCTTTGAGTAGGTCAGGAGATTGGAAGAAGTGGACGAGATGGCGGGACCTCTAATTGTTTCTTTTTCGTATGTGGCGAAGATCTTCATTTCCGTGAGTTGTTCGCAAGAGGTGACTTACCATCTCTCGCATCTATTCGTGGCCTGCTAAACGACATATTCGACTCAAAGACGATCAAGCTTCCAGTCGGAAGTGAGATTTATAGTTCCCACTACAGTCAAACGAAAGAATTCGATATCCGGCCTACAGTCTTGGGTGGCATCTACGCACAGTTGGAGCTAACTCATGGTCTTATCCGTGCTACTACACCATTGTATCAAAAGTATTCGTATGTTGCAGAAGACAAGAAGTATCGTGCCAAAATCACATCAGATCAGAGTCCGGCGGCAATTGCGATTGCGGCGTGCGGTGAGAAAAAATCTAAGTTCCATCACATCGATGTCAATACTGCAGCCGACCGTTACAATATTGGAAGAAATGAGATTATCGCCAAGCTTGGTGAGTGGAACTCAGAAGGAATTTTAGACTTGAAGTCAAGCCAGGTCTTGAACGTTTACAAAGTCACTAAGCCTCTTCCCAAAACTGCATCAGAGATTGAGAAGCTTGCAAAGGCAGTCCACACCACCCTAGAAACCCGCGAACAACAGGATTTAGAGCGTACGGATAAGATCTTACAGCTTGTCACTGGCAAAGCTTGTTTCTCGAAGCAATTGGCTGAACACTTTGGAGATGAGCTCCCTGATGGAAAAGAAGAATGCGGCCATTGCCAGTGGTGTTTAACGCACAGGCCCGTCGAAATTCAACTTCCTCCTCCAGTTCCTTTCAATGAAACAGCCTTCAGGGAAATCCTTAGTACAATCCCAGACCGCGACGATCCGCGATTCCTAGCTCGGGTGGCTTTTGGCATATCTACACCAAGAGTGAGTGCGAAGAAGTTGGGAAGGAGTCCGATCTTTGGCTCAATGGAAGATCACGAGTTCGCAGTAAGTGGGATTGGCATTCAAATAATTTCTGGGAATATGACTTGGCTAACAAATATCGACTTTAGGTTCTTCTGCGAGCTTTTGAGAAGGAATGCAATTAGAGTGAGCTTGGGGCAAACGGCATGTAATTTATTTGTATATTGTAACGAGTAAGAATATTTCATATTCTGGTTTGACCAGCAAAATAGAACGCGATGGGATGAGATATCTGGTATTATCCAGAAGATGGTACCTAAAGGCGTGCATCATGTGTATGCTTCATAATAGCAAAGAACATGTTTCATTCTTCCATGCACACTCATTGATTCCCCGAAATGTCTTATACCGTGAGTCACGTATTATACGAATTCAAAAGGTTTTCTTGAAAGGTTGAGCGATTCCAGTATATCATTACTTCATTGAGGGGTGTTTCCGTCCAGTATTTTTACAGGATCTTAAATTTTCTTTTCACCCGAACGCCAATACGCTAAACCCATCCGTGACCCAGGTCAGTACTTTCCATTCCATACATGGTATAATTCTCGCATCACCTCATCATCTTCTTCTCAAATCATGTTCTTCGGCCCAGAACGCTGGGCAAGGAGCGCCCTCATCACCCCTCCCATTCTTCATCCCACCCAAAAGCCAATCCGTCAGTCCCACCACCTTAGCACCAACGCCCTTTTCCCAATTTCCACCTTCTTGCACATGCTCAATAGTATGCGACCAGATCCTCCCCTCCTCATCAAACTCGAAGAGGAAAAGCCCGGTAAACTCCTTACTATCATCCTCTCCACTTCCACCCCCCAACCACTCCGTAATCTTATCCACATTTTCCCTTGCTCCAATCCCTTTATAGAACCCACCTGTGCCTTTATTCTTCGTTTTGCCAATCGTTCTCCATCGTACTATTAACTGTTCGCCATTTCCTCTAGGTGATTGCCTCATCCGCTCGGAAAGTATCTCGAGCTTCACATTTCCAACTAAAGGAACACGACCCCAGGCGATAGGAGAAGTCCAGAGAGCGGCAGAATAGGCGACACGGCCTGAGACGGTGGGGAGATGGGGATGCGTGGAGGGGAAGAGGTGGAGGGTTATTTGCGGGGAGAGAATTTCTTGAGGGAGGGGGGATTGGAGGAGAGTGGGGAGGCGTTCTTGGAGGATGCGGAGAGCTAGGGATTGTTAGTATATTGGTATACACGTAGGTGAATTAGTTGAGGGCTTTGGGGAAATGCTTGCTTTTTCCTAGTCTTACTGTTCTCTCATCTTTCGGGGGTTTATTTGAATCGGGGAGACCGGGAGATAGATTCTCATTGCGGGGTATTGAGCCGGTGAACCATACATCTGAGAGGTCCTTAGGTCCTGAATTAACAGTTGCTAGATATCGAGAGCCAGTTTGAACTGTATATGTAGTGGCAAGTTTTGTTTGGCATATTAAAGAGGTGGAGGGGAGCTTTGAGGGCCGATTTCGAGTTAGGCGCAAGAGATACTGAGGTTTCGACATCAGCTTGAGTAGAAAAGATTCATACGAAAAGACATCAACACTTTAGCAAATTAAAGAAAGAAAGTACATGGATATTCATCATCATAGTGTTTGACTTGATTTCTAGAACTTTTTGATATCTTGCATCTATCCAGTGATATCCAAGCTTTATCAATCGGCATTACAAGCTGCTGATTGCCGATTAGATACAAAGCGGTCAATCAGTTGATCAGGAGTTTGAATGAATGAATCACCAGAATCACTAGAATCAAATTTACCAAATTAGTTTGAATCAGTCAAACCATTTAAAAAAAGTTATAAATACTTCAAAGTATGCAATATTCAATATCCAATACGTTGGTAAATTAACAAAGAACAAAGGTCTATCCAATTACTTGTGAATATATGTACATCCAAATACAATTCAGAAACATTCACCCGCAAAGACCTCATATAATCCCAGCTAAATCTGATTTCACGTGATACTCGTCTAACGCCCGTGGACCGCCTCTGCACCTTAAACACAGTTGAGGTTCCCAAGAGTTGCGATATCTTATTCTACAACTACAACCATAAGACATCGAAAAGGATAACCAAGAGGTATCATAAAAACCCCACACACAAGAACCTACCTTTGAACAACCGCAAAAATGAATCCAGAGTAGTAAGTTTGGACCCCTCAAATCAAACGTCATCCTTTCATCAACTTCAAAGAAACCGCCATCCACATCATGTCTTAAGAGATGCAATACTAATCATTCTATTTGCAGAGTACAAAATCCCATATTCCTCGTCACAAAGATGTCGTTATCATCGCACAGGATACATTCCACTGGTCCACGTCAATATGTATATCTTGGAGGGACTCCGACTGACAGAACTCAATAGATACGATTACCTCTTCAAGCTCCTCCTTATCGGTGATTCCGGTGTAGGAAAGTCCTGTCTGTTATTGCGATTTGCAGACGACACATACACGGAGAGTTATATCTCCACTATCGGTGTTGATTTCGTGGGTGTTCATGTTTCGGGGTCACAGTCTTGTTTGCTGATGAGGAGGTAGAAAATCCGCACGATCGAGTTGGACGGCAAGACCGTCAAGTTACAAATTGTAAGGCAATCTGAAAAATAGTAATGCAGAAACATTATGCTGATAGTTTCATCTGTAGTGGGACACCGCTGGACAAGAGCGTTTCCGCACAATCACATCATCGTACTACCGGGGCGCTCACGGTATCTGCGTTGTGTACGATGTCACCGACATGGACTCGTTCAACAACGTAAAGCAATGGTTACAGGAAATTGACAGATACGCAACAGAGGGTGTAAACAAGTTGCTCGTTGGCAACAAGAGTGATATGTCGGACAAGAAGGTTGTGGATTACACTGTCGCGAAGGTAAATATCATCATATGGACACAAGCACCTGAGACTCTGCATCAGGCTCTGCTTGGATTTCAACAATATTGCAACTAACATACATCGTATTAGGAATTCGCTGACAGTCTTGGTATTCCATTTCTCGAGACTTCAGCCAAGAATGCCAGCAACGTCGAGCAGGCTTTCTTGACCATGGCCCGCCAAATCAAAGAACGTATTGGCACAACCACAGCAAACAACAAGCCAGCAGTACAAGTTGGACAGGGACAAGGCGTACAATCGGGGTCTGGAGGTGGATGCTGTTAGATGATATTGGTGGTCGATCGGTCGCTTTTATCTAGGTTTTTGATGAGCCTAGAACGTCACGAACTCCTGCTTCCCTTTTCTGATTTATCCGCATTAGACTGATGGTCCCTTGGATCGGCCTCTGTAATTCGTCTGTCTTTCGCTGCCTTCGCTAGCAATGCATCGCAGCAAATCACATAGCAAATCTTTGCACCAATGAATTTAAGGAAGAGGGGAAATAGATAACTTTAATGGCTGATGGATGGAGGGAAACGAATCCAGTTGTGAAACATTTGGCGTGGAATGGGAGGAATTCGGGGAATGGATCTTGTCATTGTTTTTTACTTTTCCCTTTTTATTGATGCACGGTTTCCTTTTTGTGGTCTGAAGCTTTTTTCGATGCTACTTATTGATGGTATCGAATCCTTTTTCTACGTTATCTTTGTTATTATGACAGGCAAGGCAATATTCGAGACTTTTTTCCGCGAGATTATGTACTTTTGTACTGTATTGTACTGCATGATATGTGTGTTTTATCTTATCTTGTTCCAATTGTGTATATGAAATGTGAAGTGATCTCAACTATGTGTAGTTCAAAGTTTAGGCAGGTAAGTCTGTCTGTTCGTTACTTGGTTTGTTAGTTTATGTGGTGAAAGTGAGAGTAAGTGAGCAGAGCAGGTAAGTCTAATTTTTTTAGTTCCTAGTTTTAAGTTACAAGATTCAAGTTTCGGAGGGGAGAGGTTTATAAGTGAGGTTGGAGCTTGGGTTATTTTATTTTATGTTATGTTATTTTATATTATATCATATTTAGATGGATAGATCGGTTTAGTTTTAAGGGGGATATAGATTTATATCTAGTGTGTAGTGTCTTGTACTAGTAGTAATAGTAAGTCAAACAGTAAGTTAGTATTTAGCTGATAGCTGGATGGGTGAATGGATAGATAGATAGATAAGTATCTATTGGAATTTGAGTTTGAGAGGTTGATTTATGGTATGTTGTTTGGTTTATATTGATATTTGGTTGGTTGGTTGTATATATGTGTGTGTGTGTGTATGTGTATATATTTTTAGGGTAAGTTTGGGAAGTTTTTGAACTTTTTGATGGGATAGTAGAGTGGAGTGGAGAAAGTGAATAGCTGTGATGAATGATGTATTGATCAAGTTGAGGCGAGTTGAATTAAAGGAATATCATATCTATTCTTCGCAGCAATACAATATAATATTCATCTTCTCAATCATAAAATCTTCTTAATCATAATACAAATGCCACAAAGCAAACCCCTATACCCTCCAGCTTCCAATTCCAATTTCCAACCAAGTAGATACCCATATCTAACGCCTATACTTCAAGTCCTCAAACCATCATACATTCACACTCTAAACCTCAATCCCCAACTCCCTCCCAATAATCACCGCCGCTTTCTCCCCCACCGCCAAAGCCGTATTATTAGTATTCGCCCCCACATTCTCCGGCACCATACTCAAATCACAAACCTTCAATCCCCGCGTCCCATACACATTCAACGCCGCATCCACCACTCCCCCTTTCTCTCTCGGCTTCATCGCACATGTTCCTAGCGAATGCCACGTCGTATTTAGATTTTCTCGAATCCAATCTTCAATCACCATGTTATCTTCAGCACTATATTCAATATCCTCAACGGTTCCCTCAATTGCCCCATTAGATAACGCAGCCTTAGAACCCTTTGGAAATTTAGGATGACCGAGCTCTAGCTCGCCTCGGAAATATGGGAGACGTCTAGAGATTTCCCGTTGCATTTTGTAGGCCCATAGCTGTTTTTTCAAATCGCTCGGATGGGATAAAAAGCCTGCGTCGAATTCATACCCGTTTTGCACGTCGCTTGATGAGGTGATGTGGATGGATCCTCGTGAATACGGGTATGCAGTGTAGGTTCCCATGGTGAGATATTGACCTGGATCGACGAGTGATTGGTCTGCGAGGAAGGTGTTGGCGGCGACGCATAGCATGAGTGGTTTGCTGGGGTGAGGGGCAAAGTCACGTTCCCAGTCTGCGACGAAGTCGGGACCTAGAGCTTGGATTTCCGAGGGAGAAGGTCGGAGTTTACTGCAGACGTCTGGGGATGTGTTAGTGTCTGATGGGAAGTAAGAAGGTGGTGGTATTGGACTTACCGACTGAATTCCAAGCTAGCTGAGGATCTTTGGCTTCAAGTGCTTGAGCAAAGTCTTTTCTTCCGCTTAAAAAGCCATCGATGGTTTCGGTTTCATCAAGTGATGTTTTGTAGGGATACAGAAGCAAGTGATGATCTATTCGCCAAGTGCAATTAGTCAATCTTTTCATAACCACAGAAGCAAATAAAATCCACTTACCCTGATACGCCTCGCCTACACCCTCCACCTCACTAACAACCTCCACTCCACACCTTTCCAACACATCCTTCCTACCCACTCCACTCCTCTCCAAGATTTGCGGAGTCCCCAATGCGCCTGCACTCACAACCACCAATTTTTCCGCAGTAATCGTATGCGGAATCGCCTTACTCAGTGCGAGAGCGGGCTGATAATCAGAATTGGGTACGTATTCTATACCAATTGCACGAGGTGGAGATGAGGAATCAAAGAGTACGCGAACGACTTTGGATTCAGTGAGGATGTGAAGATTAGGATAGGAGCCGGATTGACGAAGAGGGTGAATATAGGTGTGAGCTGAATCTTGGCGACGACCGCTGAGAGAAACGTAGCGGTGCCATTTCTACCTGGAGGTTAGTTTCTACAAGAAGAAAAGAGATGAACATGAAAAAAAAAAACAATAAAGTAAAGTAAAGCAAAAAAAAAAAAAAAGAAGAAACGAACTCACCCCCCATCCACACGTATCCCCATCCTGCAAATCCGCAACCTCTTCATGCCCCATCTTCTTCACCGTCTCCAAAAACACATCACCACTCTTCCCCCTAAAACCCCCATCACTCACATGCACAGGTCCATCATACCCATGTTTCTCCCTATCTACTGCTCCTTCCGGATGATACGTTTCGAGCTTCTTCCACATTTCCAGCATATCTTTTGCGCTCCATCCGGGGGTATTCCAGGAATCGAAATCGATGGATTGAGCGCGTGTGTACATGAGGAAATTGATCGAGGAGCCGCCGCCGAGGAGTCCGCCTGCGGGAACGATGGCTTCGCGATTGTTTAGGTGGGGGGAAGGTTGGGATTTGTAGAACTAGGTAGTTTTTTTGTGTTAATATTAATTTCAATCTCGGTCTTGATACCTAATCATATCGTACTCATTCCATTCATTCCTCCATTCTCCCCTCACTCACTCAAATCCCCCCAAAAACCCAAAAATCCCCCTCCCCTTAAAAAACCCAAGAAAACAAAAACAAAAACAAAAACCCAAATAAAAGGGATCAACAAACCAAAGCCGTCTTACTCCCCGGAGCCAAATGACTCAAAAACACAACCGGCGTCACCACACTTGGATCTTCAAAATTATTCTTCCCACCTTCTACGAGTAGGATTCGTAGAGCTGGGTTTGCTTTGGCGAGTCGACCGGCTGCTACGCAGGCGGCTGTACCGCCGCCTGCGAAGATTATGTCTACGGTTTGGGGGATGGGTAGTTGCATTTTTCTGTTTTTTGAGGATGAAGAGGGATTGGGTAGAGGGATTGGGTGTCGTGGTGTAGAGGTGTACTGGTATGGGGTTTGGGTGATGGGTGGGGGGTTAGTTGGTGTGAGGATGGAGGATGTATATCTCTATATATGTGTATGTATATAATGATTGTTATAATAAGATTTATATAGAAATATAAACAAAAGGAGGTGAGGTGAATGCTACTACAAACTCCCAAGAAACAAATCTTCAAAAATATAAAAGTAAATCCCAATCCGTCCCCGTCCTCAGAGCACCTTATATATATACACATAAGTCTTACCAACCAACCGAAGCACTTCCAAGCCCATGGTTAAACCGATACCCAATACCCAAGTACACAATACCCAATATCCACCCAACCCACGCATCCATCCTCTAACTAGTTCCCCGTCATCCGCCACCAGTACCACGATACTAGATATTAGTATGACTGTACCACACCAGCCCGCCCACCTGCTGTTACTGGTTACCTCAGTCTAGTTATCTTCTACCTTCCCATCTTTTCCTAATCAGCTCCAAGGCTGGCGCAAAGTATGTGCGCCTCATTGAGAGATCTGCAGTTATACTGAAGGAGGGAAAAACAAAAATTAAAAATGGTGAGGGTTGATCCGGGTTTATTCCGCGGGGTAGGTAAGTTTTACTTTCGGATGTATTTAAGGTTTAGATCTTGGATCTTGGTCGATGGTTTTGTTTGTTGGACTAAGTTATTTATGTATTTACGTGGTAATAGATCAATAGTTTAGGGATTTGGAAATTTGATGATGGAGATACTTGTAAGGTTATAGTGTTAATGAAGATAGGTAGATTACAAGGAACAAAAGGAAACAGGGTTTATAACCTAGTGTTACACGAGATATGATATATCATATACGGTATACAATACAATACACAACATACAATATTCATCTCTTGATTTGAAGTTCCCCCAATATCTGTACTTGTGCTCGTTCGTACTTATATACTTGTACTTGTACATATATACATCTATGTGTCTGTACCTGTGCTAAAGACCGAGCTACTAAGTTCCTATACTACTACTACTACTACTACTACTACTACTACTACTACTACTAGTATTATCTCGTCTCAACAGATACACATACATATACATACATACCCCACAATCTCCATCCATCTAAACAACACATATTACAACCTAATCTTACAAATACATCCCATCCCATCTCCATCTCCATCTCCATCACCATCTCCATCACCTATCTCCCATCTCTACCAACACGTATATCATATCAAAACTAGGATATCTACCTACCCACCAGTAGATACTTATCGGTACCCACTAACTTACACTACCCTCATTCTCACATTCAGCCTCACCCAAATTCCTCAACACCCAGCCACAAATCATATTCATTATACACCAATATACCCCTAAACCAACCAACCAATCAAACCACCCAGCAAAAAACCCAAAACCCTAGATCCCACCCTTTCTTCGAGTATCCTGATCCAATCCAGTTCAATCCAATCCAATCCAATCCAATCCAATCCAATCCAACACCAGCCCTAACACCCACCGACCTCCCCTATCCTATCCTATCCTATCCCATTTCCCCCCTTCCCCACCACCCACCAATAAAAGACAAAAGCGGGGCCCGCAACAAGCCAAGCAAAAGACCCCGCATCCCATCCGATCACATCTACTCCAGCACGTGCAACGCAACGCGTGCAACCTCGGATTTACACACTACACACTACACACTACACACTACACATTACATATAGCTAGGTAGGTACAGCACAAGACATCCAAACTCACACCCCCTCACTCACATCCATCCATCCATCCTACCAGACTCAAGGGACTAAATAAAACACACTAATAACCACGGACGGAATCATCCCGCCTCAAAAAAAGCAGAGGCAAAAAAAGTAAAAACTAAAGCCTAAAACCTAAAGCCGAGAGCACCACCTTGCCCCCCTCCCCTCTCCCCCCTTTTTCAATAGATTTCCCCAATTAAAAAAATTTCTACATCCTCCATGCACGAAAAAGTTTTAATAAACAATCAAAAAGCCAGCTGAATACAACACAATACAACGTACGCGCATACATACGTACATACGTAGCATCAGGGACTACTGTGTGCCCTGCAGATTGCGTCTGCGGCTGGCGCTGTAGATGAGCCCCACGCCCCACCCATCCACCACGGTAGATTTATCAGTTACCCAGTTATCAGCTATCAGTCCAGTTACCCGTTTTGCCTCGAAGTACATATTTATGTACCTACCTACCTGTCCAATTAGTTAGATCCGATGATAAACCATGATATAATTTTCAATTCTCAAATAAGTAAACTAGTGCACAAATCGTAAAGATCCTATATATCTTTCAATTTTCTTCTCCATTGCCAAACCCTCCCTCCATATTATCAATTTTATTTATACTTCGCTTGCTTGCTTGCTTGCTTGCTTTTCTTTATTCTGCTCTGCTCTGCTCATCAAAATCACCTAACTCTCTGTACACTAGGAACGAATGAATGTAAATGAAAGAAAGCAAAAAAATGCATTCCTATCCATCCATTATGCTTCACCCGTGACAATTTGTGAATATTTATTTGAATAAGAAAAGAAGAGAAGGTGAAAATTGTCCATATATGATTGTAACTCCCAACGAGAACTTCATAAAATTCATAAACTAACCTAACTTGAAAGAATTGAAAACTATAACATGCAATAAAGTCGGGCGAGAACGTAACACCAAACCACCCTGTCCACCATAACCTTGAACGCCAAATAACTCATTCTCATCTCGGTATTGGTATTGGTATTATGTACGCCCCCATTAATCATCATTAAACACATCAATTCACACAAACTTCCCAGCACATTACCTTCCCATGAATTTGTATTTCCTTTGAATGTATTCAAATTAAATTTTCAGAACGCCCCAAAAATGCAATCATCCTACTTGGCCGTGCTGTTCGTGACTTTCCTCAAGTTCTTCAGCATGTTTTCAATCAAGGACTCCGAATCAATAGGCACGTCTGGTAAGTCATGAGTTTGCGGAGGAGGTGCATAAGTTTGCACTGGTCCCTGCGAATCTGGAAGCTTCTGAAAATATTGTTGATGTGGATAGAGAGGTTTGGCCTCCTCCTGAAGAGGTTGAGGTGGAGGCTGAGACTGATGTGAAGCATTTACTGATTGCTGACTGGGATCTGGCTGGGTAAGAGGAGTCGTCGAAGTAGCATTTACAGCTAGTTGAGGCTGTGATAATGAATTATGAGTAGCCTGCTGTGCCGGTTGGGGTTGAGATTGAGATTGTGGTGGTTGAGATTGTTGGGATTTCTGAACTTGGTCGGACTCCGTTGTTTGCGACGTTTGGGACACGTATCCATTTTGTCCAGAACTTTGGCTCCCATATGGACGGTGTAAAGGATTTTGATATTGAGTAGAATAATGACTTTTGTGATTTTGCTGCTGACCCTGCTGCTGGTGAGTTTGTTGTTGATGATCCCGTGGCTGTGGTACATGATGTTTATGGAACATCGAACTGTATTCCTTTCGAATTGCTGGGTGCAAGGGCGAATGGTCCTTTCTTTCCCATTGATTGGTATCGAAAGGCTTCGGCGGAGCCTGTTGTGTGGGAGTCTGCTGTTTTCTGGGGATGGAAGGTGAAGCATAGCTTGATCTTCCAGATGATACTGCCGAAGAATATGATTGCGACCCATTGGAGGAATAGGGACTGCGAGTAGATTTGGAGTTATAGGATGTGGTACCACCATAGGCTGGACTAGAGTAGGATAATTTGTTGCCGACGCCACCGCCAGCGTAGGAAGAAACTGAAGGTGGGGATGGAGCTGTGCTCGAACCTGGTTTTGCAAATAAAGTCTTCTTTAGATGCTCGGTCCAGTTGCCTTGATAACCATTCATGAATCCTCCACCTTCTCTGTAGGGGCTTTTATATTCCATGGGCGAGCGATTATGCTCAATTTGCAAGTAGAGATACTTCGCAAACACGTTTCCTACCTTAGGAGCAGACGCCCTGCTGCTAAAAGGATTATTTCCTTTCGATGCTGACTGAGGTGCTCGGTAGTTCGTATTCGGTGGAGCCAGAGGACTCGCAGTTACTTGTGTTTGACGTTGTGTAGCTGCTTGATAAGGCTGGCGCGGGGGAGCATATTTGACTTGTGGGGCATAATTGACTTGTGGAGCATAGTTGGCGGGTGGAGGGGCGTAACTAGCTTGTGGAGTATAACTAGCTTTTGGAGCTGCGACCGCAGAAGGAGTCGCAGAAGAAGCTGCAGAAGGAGCTGCAGAAGAACCCGGGTTATTCTGGAACCTGGGATCACTACCAAACCTGAGGCCGCCCGCAGGTACTTGGGCAGGCCTGGAAGCCGCTGATTGTCGCAAGAAAGCCTGCTGAGATTGGTATGATTGTGCATCAATCAAGCCACTGTGATAATCATCTCCAGGTTTACGAGGCTTGTACACATATGGCTTCTCTAGCCTTGCGACCGAGGATGGGGGAGCTGCCGTAGATGGCGCTGATTGGCTAAAATTTTTGCTAGTACTCGTGTTTTGTATTGCCTGGGCGATGGGGCCAGTGTATGGAGGATTACTGGTCGGCATCTTTGTGACGCTCGAAGAACTTTTATTCGAGGGCGTAGGATATGAAGCTGCATATGATAGACGTGGCGCAGGCGCAACTGCCTTGGGAATTGTGTCAAGGAAATGACCCTTAGGATTGTGTCTTTGGAGCCTCAAATTCTCCGTAAACTGTGCTCTGGCCTCTGTAGAGTTCTTTCCAAGATAATACCAAACTTGGTTCTCTTTGCTCAAATCTAATTTGACCTGTGCTGCATTGCGTGCAATACTCGCCGTGTTAAATTCTGCCCATGTAAAGCCCTTGACAAATACATCCTCAGGTCTTGGAATGTCATCGACTTGACGCTTTGTCGTATTGAGTGACGCTGCTTCAATACGAGATTTCGGCATGGGGATTGCCTTCTCGGATGGTTTAGCAAGAGTGAAGAATGATTGGTCGGGAATAAGAATCCACTTATATTCGACTTCAACACGATCACTAGTGGTAAAGTTAGCAAAGCATTCACAACAGGGTCAAGAGGTTTTACGTACCCATGTGGCAGGATATCAACGAGCACTGTCTCCTCATCTTCCCGGTTCTCAATGATAGTACCTGCAAAGATATCCCCTTTGTAAAATTGCATTTGACAGACTTCGTTGACCTTTAGCTCCTTTGCACCATTGCGAATACGAACATCTTCCTCGAGAGACTCGCTGTCAAGCTTCTTGTCCCGTTTAACGCGATGGAAGCGACAACTAAATTCAATGCCCCACTCTTTATACTCAGTGCCATCCTCACCAAACACTGGAATCTCGCCCTGCTCAACAAACACGCCAGCTGCTGCTGCACATGTCGCATGATATGCTCTTGTACACTTCTTCTTCGAGCATTGGAAACATGCACCTTTCTTCGAACGGCAATAGTTGCACTTGAGGTCAAATCGAGCTTTGGAAATCTCCTTAATGCCCGTAACAACTTCCTTCTTCTCCATTTCTTCAATGATTGTTTCTGGAATGTACTGAGCACACATACGATGTGCCTGTTTGCCATCCTCCGTCGAAAGTAGAGGTTCGGAAGGAATGTCGTTGGGACAGAGGACACATGGTTCGTGAGCTGGCGCTTTGATGCGCATACGAATTCTCTTCACATTTTGCTGGTCGTCTGATTCACTCTTGACGCGCTTACGCTTGCGTTGGGCTTTAGTCTTGACCTTTGCGTCACCACTGCTATCAGGGGGTGTCGGAAGATCCGTCGGTTCATTTTCGTCATCTTCTTCCTCTTCCTCCTCATCGAAGTCGGTTTCATATTCAGTCTCTTCGCCATTCATCTTACGTTCTAGATCTCGAACGTTGATCCAAACGCTGTCCTGAGCTTGATCGCAATCGCATTTCTTGGCCACCTTTCCATATTCAATCCATGATGGTAAGCCAAAGTTGACAGCTTCAGCGCAATTGTAACCGAGATTGTATCCAGAGTGATATCCGTATGGGAAAGTAATGACGAATTCGCCTGGCCGGTGAACGATCTTGTTGACTTTGATATTATAGTTCGACAATAAGTGCTGAGGTGATATCAAAAATGTTTTGTGACGAAGAAATTCGCTGCAAGCTTTTGCATCCGCTGGCCATATATTTTTCATCGCAGCCTCAAATCGTCGTGCATCTCCTTGAGAAATACTGTACCATTGCTTCGGTGCACCAAAGTGAAGATAATTGATACTGTAAAGATCGACGTCCTCCAAATGCCAGGCAAAAGTAGCTTTCCACATACCCAAGTAAAGATACGCAGTGTTGACACCAGGAATTTGACCACCCAAATGATCAAGGATGTTAGGCAGCTTTCCAAGATTCCACTCGGTCGTTCTATCATCAAAAAGTGAACCCATCATATCTGCTCCGTAGAGGGGTGGAGCAAATGTGAGAGTACGCCAATAGTGTCGTTCCAATTCTTCACATCTCTCTGCCGAGTAATCTTCGCCCTCTAGCTCATACTTGAAGTTCTCAAACGCAGCTTCATCCACCACTCCTGTTTCGCGACGATTATTCTTACGACGGGAAGAAACAGATATGGCTTTGGGTTGCCGTCCCCCCCTTGGTTTAATAGGTATATCATCCTCATCTCCTTCTTGCTTGACAGACGACGCATCGCCTTCGGTTTTCGGAGATATTGGAGTTGGTAAACGATCTGGAGTCCCGTCTTCTGAATCGACTGTAGCATTTGTCTTAAGCCTAGACGGTCTCCCTGGCTTCCTCTTCCCACCAACAGCTCCTGATGTCGAAGGAGCTTTGGCTCTTGTCGCAACTTTAGCTTTTTCGATATTGGCTCTCCTCTCACCTCTCTTGGCAGGAGGTTGATGTTCACTCTGATCGCACAACTGTCGCCATTGTGGAAGATTGTAAGAACGTTGGTGGAGAATATTAGCTTGTCGGTATGTTCCGCTCTGACCCATGATATCTTGCTTAATCGGATCCTTTACTCTAATCGTTTTAATAGCATCGTCGAGCGGTGGAAGGGCAGCTTTCCATTCGGGTGGAGGAATGACCTTAACAATCCCAGATTTCATACCATATTTGTTGACTTTATCCATCTAGGCGTTATCGCATTAGCAGGTGGTCCCAAAGTAGTATCATTTTGACTTACGAAGAGATTAAAGTCCTTGAATTGAGCCATGGTTGGCATAAAAACAGGAACTCTGCCATCATCCTCCCAATGCTCTGGTTCAATGGCATCATCTGCTGAGAGGTCAACGTCGGATAATTCTGAGTCGCTTGATGGATCGGTTCTGATTGTATTGTTGCTTTCCGGTGGCGAAGCAAGATCCTGCGAAATCGCAGATTGCTCACCTTCGCCGGACACAACTACCTGGTCGGTAGCAGTCGACATCGTGTAGACTCACATGCGATCGACCATGCGACTGTACTGTGCGTGAAGCGGTCGTGTAATTATATCGCAAGGATTTTGAAGGAGGTGAACGTCGCTGAATTGTGGAGGGGGTTTGGAAGAATGATGCGCGCTTTGGAAAAGAATGGATTGGTTCTTGGCAAATGTCGAAAGAAACAATTCAAGACTTTATCCTGTCAACTCCATAAAAACATAAAGGTAAATCGGAAATATTGTCTGATGTGGTTTAAAAAAGATTATTTCGCTGGTGATTATCGGAGGCAGTTGTATTTTGTACTGGCTGGCTGTATGGACACAGGACAGGACGATTTACTGAGGTGCGAGGTGCGAGTTTCCCTCGAACGATTCTCCTACTTGCCGATATCCACTAAGCTTTATCCACTTTAGCGTACCTGTTCGGTTCCCATTTCTAGAACAGTGATTTGAGTGAAGTGGATCGACATTTGGCAAAAGTAAAAGAATCTTTCAATAAATAATACGGCGGAGTAAGCTCATCAACACATATATTATTTTGTTACTTTTACTTTTTATCCCACAGCTCTATCACTTGATAATTTAATAATTATTAATTTGTTCTTCATTTTATAACGATCCTTTGAATACGAGTACCCACAATGTATTCTATATTTTACATCACATTGTGTAGGTACTCGACGAATTCACGAATTGATAATACCGACCGAATCCTTTATACATACCTAGGTATGTATATATGTAGGTACGTGTGTCGGTCCAACATAGATACACATCACGATGAGAGAGAGCAAAAACAGCTTGACCGGCAATCTCAGTAGCCAGTAAGTATATCATGGTGTTCTTCCTCCTTTTCACATGACATGAGGAGATATACCTACTAGATAGGTACAACTTGCAATAGTTGAACGGCATTTCTCTCTTTTGCCATATTTTGTTTCTCTTTGGGGATATTCATTATATTATGGTCTTTTTTCATGATTCCTTGACTGTGTTGCTGCTTGAATTATTATTATTTGATTGATTTATTGGATCACCAGGATCTGTCAAGATTATTTCATGCAGTGCACAGTTCACCCTCCTGTAAGATGAAAATCATCTCAACTTATCCAAACAAAACTGGAATCATCATCATATAGGGCTGAGAAGTTTATCTTTGGTCTCATCATTTTGCACTGTACCTCCCGAGGTCCTTGGACATTCGTTCGGATTGATCTTTGGTGTACCGTCCAATTCAATCTAGTCAAGTGTGATAAAGATGTGACATGCTCATTACCTTCATGATCAGGAGTTGCGATGGATTTATCAAGTTGGTTTATTGCAATACACAGGATTCTCAATTCTGAAAGAGTTGAGACGATATGACGTTGATCACAAGTGAAACGATCAAAGATACATATGTCTTCGATAAGTGACCCGATAGGATGATACCCCTGCACTAGTGAAATCTCTGTCGTTGAACTTGCATCTACGTTAAATTTAAGCTTCCGACGAGACGTGGGCCAAGTGGCTAAAAGCGGTGACACCTCTCCATCTCCACCTACCTAGGCAAACATTATCCGTCTCCCCATGAAATCCTGGCACAGATCTTACGAAGTCGAACCTTTTTATCTGGGGAAACAGTGGCAACTGGTTGGACGTATATCGTCACAGCCAGTCATGATCCTCGAAGATCTCTTACATGTGCCGCCGCAGAATTTGAACACCAAGCCTGCAAGCCTGCAAGCCTGCAAACCATCTGCGGGCATGCAGCCCTGGATATATTCATCCGAGGTATCGATGTCGTTTCAGTCATTTCCAGAATCGAGGGTCCTGTTTGCATAATCAATTCATTCTTGAAGAATGTGTAATCGCAATGCATTAAGATGTGCAAATATGAAAGTCAAGAGGATGTCAACAACCTCACAAATGGAGATGCTCGACAGCATACAAGTGACTCTGTGCTAACTCATAGCCAATCAAATTGGCTCTGGTGAAGGTTGGGCATGAGAATAGTTCAATTCGAAAAGAAGCTGGTGTCATTCAATTGTTGCAAAGAACGTCGATTCTATTGAGATTTCACAGTGTTCATAGGCTAATCTTATCTCAGCCCCACACCTCAGAAACTACGTAGTTACACTCCTGTTGATACATTTACTCGCACTCATGATCGTCATTATGGTAATTGATTTGACTACGCTATCAAAGAGCATGATATCATACCATTTTGATTGATGCGACTAACAAGACAGCAGACTTACTTAGCACATTAAATACCAGGAGCACCTTACATATGGATGAAACGACGGTACACTTGGATCTAATCATCTCATACACACACATAGACGTAATAACAATCAATAAGCTACCATGAACATATACTCGACAAAATGAAATCTTGCCAGAATATTGACAGTCGGGGCTAGCTCACAAGATCCAATATTCACTTACCTACCCATACCTATACCTTCCCATCACCAGTTGCTACGGAATGAAACAAGAGATCGTTTCTCTCTTCCCTCACTGCTTTGAAATTGTATCCATCCCCTCATCAATCATAGCCGGGCCCCAAATCAAACCAAGCCACCCAGAATCCTCCCTCAGCTCATTTCATCCAATCTCACCCCATGCATCTGCACCGCTCCAGCTAATCCAGCAGTCCATCAAAAACATAAAAAAATAGTAAGATCTTACCTAGATTCAAACTTTCGAACCAAAAAAACAACGACCTAGATTATATTACATTACATAGATACATACCAATCCATACACACAACCAGTCTGCACAAACCACACTTCCTCCCCTCCGCCCCCCTTTCCCCCGCTTCTCCTTTCCCCCCTCTTTCTTCTTCCTTTTTCTTCGTCTATCTCCCAACCATGTCATCTATCTCAAACCCTCCATCTCAAAGCCTACTAACGAAAATTCCCAACCTCAAACTTCCAAGCTTCCTAACATCCATCACCTTACAAACTCCCAATTCCCCTCTCCCAATTCCCAGTATACATACAACTACCTACTGATAAAGAATATACTTACCAACTATAAAACAACAAATTCAAATTCCGCACGAGCCCAACTTACCAATTAAACCCACTACCAATCTCGGCTACTCCCTCAAATATCATCCCCTAATCCTCACATTATTTCCTACTCGATCTAGCAGAGTTCGTTTCATAGAAGTGATGCATACATCCTTTCATCCATCCTCTCTTACTGTACCTATTTTTCTTGGGTCACTTTAAAAAAAACCCCTCCGCCCCAATCCAACATTTCACATATAATCAAAAATCATTTCATCACCAAATGTGTAAAACACTCTCATATAATCTGTATCCGTAATTTTCATTCATTATGCCCATATGCAACCGTCATCAAATCATAGGTATCAATCATTTCGTTTTGACCACACCTCAATCCGATGCAAACCCCTCAGTCCCGATCCAGTCCAACCGTCCTAAAAGACCAAGACCAAGATCAGCAACCAAAGACCAAACCATCCGAACTTTTCAATGTGTGGGGGTATGAACAAGCAGCCTGCATAACAGCGCGCAAAAAGAAAAATCAGTGACCAAAATACAGAAATGTTTTGTTGTATGTAATGCCATAAGAGTAACCGCTCTTCCATATCATTATAGCCCTAGGCCATATCCAGCCAATATCAAGAACATGACAGATCCGTGCAAATGCTAACTGTGCCGTTTTCGCAATTGCAAATATTAAATGCAAAAAAAAACTTTACCCATTTCGCCTTTGTGTGATGCCATGCCGCGAGAAACAAGTCGAATGAAAGGATGAGGTTATTACAAGCTGTGTAAGCTGAAGCCTAAGAGCTCATTAATTGTGAGACTCTAGAGCTGTTTCCTAAAGGTGAATCTATGATGAGTCGCCTCTTGGGGCACGAGGAGCCCCACGTGGACCACCTCGACCACGTCCTCCTCGATGTTGTCCATCACCTCTGAAGCCACCACGACCTCTGCCTCCTCTACCACGATACTCTCCACGGCCACGATTACGGCTGACTTCATGGAAGCCATCATTGTTGGTAGTTGGGGCAGTAGGAGTCTTCTGAAGAAAAGTTATTAGCAAAATTTCCATGATTTATCCTATGAGATTGGAGTCGACTTACTGAACCGGGGCTCTCTGGCTGTTCATCGGCCCAACTTTGAGTATTAGGAGCGGCAGCAGGAGTAGCAGTAACGCCAGTCTCAGTCTCAGTAGTTTCGCGAGTAACCTCGACCCACTCTTGCGACGTGGACAAATCGTTGTTGTTGTCCCAATTTGCCTCTGCCGCAGCATTTCCTCCTTCCCCAAAAGTGGAGTTTTGAGGGAGTCCTTGAGCTTCCTCGAAACTTGGTTCTTGATGGCCATTGGTCATTGCACTTGTCACAGGCTCGTCGATTTCGGTCAAACCGGCGTTGGCGATAGTAGGGTCACTTTGAACAGGATACTCGGCGACTTCGGTTTGGGTTGTCTCTTCTTCAGCGGTCTCGATAAATTCGGCAGCGGCAGGTGTTGTTGGTAGCGCAAGCGCAATAGCCTTAATATCGGCATCTAACAATCAGTTAGTAAGTTGTAATAACTTTAAAGGCACGCGCATTTACAGGTCGTAGTGAGTTCCTCGCCGTTGACGGAGGAACAAATCTCCTCGGAACCTTGGATGATCTTCGTCATGGCAGCTACAGCAGCCTCATCACCACTGTAGACTTGGGTGAGAAGACCTTCAATGCCCTTGTTCTCATCAAGGTTTGGATCATTTTCCGGGCTGCGGCGCAAAGCAGCGAGACAGAGGAATTTAGTAATGAGTAACAAATTGGCCTCCTGTTCCTCAGCCTTCTCCTTGGCAACTGACTCCTTAGCAGCGTGGACCTTCTCCTCGAGTTCTTTACTTGCACGCTCATTGAAAGTCTTCTCGAATTCAGCCTTCTCTACCTGGAGCTTAGTCTTGTATTCTTGGTCGAACTTCTTATATTGTGCGATTTGCTCCTCAAGTTGGGCCAAAGATGCCTGGAGAGATGGCTTCTTCAAGATTTGTGCCTTTTGATCAGCGTTGATTTTGCGAGTAGCTACCAACTCGTCCAAGCTCTTGCCAGGGTTTTCGGCGAGGACATTGTCAACTTTGGAAGCGTTTGTCTGTACAATATTAGCAATTTGTCTCAAGGTGATCCTCCGCAGTTCTTCTTGACTTACGATCTTCTTGTTGACATTACGAATACTCCTGAAATGAGTTGTCAGCCACCTACCCCTCACACGAAAAAGTGACAAGAACACCAATGTTACATGATGTAGTTGTTCGAAAATAAAAATTCTTACTTGTAGAGCTCCTTGATATATGGACTTTCGTATGCTCCATCACCATTGGTGCTCTCTTCAGCACTGTTGGAGGGGGCCTTCTCGGTGACTGCTGTTGGTTCGGTGGGCTTTTGAACCTCTACAGCTTCGGTCTTGGCCTTCTTCTTCTTCGCAGACTTAGATTCTGGCTTGGGAGCTGGGTTTTGAGTTACTGAAGCAGCCATTGTGTGACTTATTTTTGTTGACTTTCAGGTTGATTTGGTGACACAGAAATGTCGAGATGACGGCTTGCTTGTGCTTGTGTTTGTGAGTGGATAATTAAAATGCCTCGTCTATGAATAAAACGATGTATTTAATACAAGAAGCTGAGAACGAGGATATTTTCAGGTTTGAGATCGGAGCTGTGTAAGACAGATATGAATTTTTAGGGGCGGATGGTATTAATTGTCAAAAGTGAGGGAGCTTCAAGATGATGGGGGAGAGATGTTTGGATCAGAACCTTGTCGGCCTTAGCGAACGTGGGAGAAGGAAGTAGAATAATAAATTTTGACCCAACAGAAGAAGAAACGTCAATGCATCTGAATATTATTAGTGAATACAAAAGAGGCTTGAGACTGTTTAATATTGGAGGTTTATGTAGGTATCCATCATTATCTTAAAATCAATTGGACCACAATTGATTAACAACATATGCTTCACTGAATTGCTGTATTCTGATCATCTCCGCGTAGTACCCCTCAAGTGTGTGGTGCCTGAAATCCACAGCCTCGTCTCATAGGCTCCTCTTCTTCTTCCTCCTTGACGACCGTCCCTCCTGAGGCATTCCGCATGGTTATTCCACATGGTTATCTGCTAAGCCCGCCATTCTTCGTAGCAATTACGTCTAAGTAGGCATATCTGATAACTTCCTGAAATTGAAGCACTCTTCGTGACCATACACTCCTGCAATGTTGATTCTACCATAACTTGTACAGTCACTCTCCCAAGCTCAAGCTCATCCCTTGAATTTCGATAGCGATAACTAGATAGTAAAGAGGATTATTATGGATACTGGAAATGACAAGAAAGTTGGGCATACTTCAGTCACTTTCTTTATACTCTTTGCGCTAATACCACGCTCTCCAGCTTGCTTCGCGTTGATACTGGCTTCTTTCATTAACCTGGACCGATTAGACATTATACCCAGACTAATGAACCCACTGAAAGGGATTAATGCGACATACGTTTCGAGAAATAGCATATAGTCAAGGAATATCTACGATGTGTGAATCAGCAAATGGCCTTTCTCCCAGAGAGGCGGCATGAAACGTACCAATACATCGACATTTTTGGTGAGATTGCGCTTGGAATGGGCTTTAATAATCTTCTTGAGACTGGCCCGAGGATAAAGTTTCTGTCCAGTGGCCATGATATGTATGACTCAGATATGTGATATTCGCACAAGAAGGTTTGCGTAGATATTGTCTTGTTGTTGAGTTTCGTGATGCTAGTTGTTATGCTGTGATGTTTGATTACATGCTTTACGGTTGCAGTGTTTACCTTCGCGTGCTGTGATATTTGAGTTTCGCAGCCTTGCCATCTGAAGTCGCTCATTGGTCGATGTTTCAAGCTTTCACCAAGCTCAATCGGATGAGTTACCCAATTAGGCAAGTGGGCGCTGTCGTCCCCTCCCACACCTACCAAACTTAGTACTTATGACAAACAGACTACTATTTACTTTATAATTTCAAGCACGGCTTCCTTCGGCTTTCTTCCCATTTCTTTCTACTTGACATCTTCAAATTTCATTCAAAAAGACACTCAAGCTACGAATGCCATTTCAACATTAAACTGGTTTAATTTGACAAAATTCCTGCACGTATCTTAACATCCAGGAACAGATCTCACCTCAGATCATCCGTATCATGGCATCTCCAACATCTGACCGAGATGTACTTCCCGATTCTGTCAAGCCTTCTCATTATGCGCTTTCTGTTTACGACATCGAGTTAGGAGGAGCTTTCAGCTATCAAGGCACAGTCAACATTGACATCAAAGTTGTCAAGCCCACCAAGGAAATTACCTTGAATGCTTTGCAACTCAAGATACATGAAGCAGAGGTAGTTTTGACTTCTGGAAAGACCTCGCATTCTATCAAGTCCAGTGAGATATCTTATGATAGTAAGAAACAGCGTGTGACTTTAAGCTTCCCAGATGAGTTGTCTATCTCCGAAAGTGCCAACCTATCAATCAAATATCAAGGAACAGTCAACAATGATATGGCGGGTTTTTACTATTCAAAATATAAACCCCAAGTCACACCAGCTGCGTCTGTTCCTAAGGTTGATGATTTTCACTGCATGTACAGTACTCAATTCGAGTCATCTGATGCTCGTAGAGCTTTCCCATGTTTCGATGAGCCTAACTTGAAGGCCACTTTTGACTTCGAGATCGAAATCCCTAAGGATCAAACTGCTTTGAGCAATATGCCTGAGAAGGGATCGAGAGATTCTAAGGATGGGTATCACTTCATCGAATTTGAAAGAACGCCAATCATGAGTACCTATCTTCTCGCCTGGGCAATGGGAGATTTCGAGTACATCGAGGACTTCACAAAACGCAAGTATAATGGGAAGCCAATCCCTGTCCGTGTCTATACTACTAGAGGCTTGAAGAGCCAAGCACAATATGCACTTGATCATGCACCTAAAGTCATTGACTTATTTTCGGAAATTTTTGACATCGACTATCCACTTCCTAAAGCTGATTTACTTGCTGTACATGAATTTGTAAGTCTCTTATTTTGTTGTTGTCAATATATTTCTTATCTGCATGAGATCCACGTTTGGTATTTCAGTATACTTCCTTAAATCAATTAATTCGTGCGCTCGCCGCGTACATGCCGTGTAGTTAACAGTTCCGCTAATCGTCTTTCTAGTCCCATGGAGCGTATGTTGCAGCCAGTTTCCCGGACCCCTTCAATTTTATGAGTGCGCTAACTAACTTTCTAATCTGCTCGATAGTATGGAGAACTGGGGCCTTGTAAGTAGTCTATATCCTTGAATGCATTAAATGCCCACTCACTCTTCCAGGTTACCTATCGCACGACAGCTGTATTGTTTGACGAGAAAACTTCCGACACAAAATTTAAAAACAGAATTGCATATGTCGTTGCGCACGAACTCGCCCATCAATGGTTTGGAAACCTAGTCACTATGGACTGGTGGAGTGAGCTTTGGCTTAATGAGGGTTTCGCTACCTGGGTTGGATGGCTGGCGACAGATCATTTCCATCCAGATTGGTGTGTATGGCCCCAGTTCGTGGCTGAGGGTATGCAGACTGCATTCCAGTTGGATTCGTTACGTAGCTCGCATCCTATTGAAGTACCAGTTAAAGATGCTCTAGACGTTGATCAAATTTTCGATTCCATCAGCTACCTTAAAGGTAGCTCTGTGCTTCGAATGCTGGCCACGCACCTTGGTCAAAAGACTTTCTTGAAGGGAGTTTCAGATTACCTAAAAGCTCACGCTTATGGCAATGCCACAACACAAGATCTATGGTCAGCTCTGAGCGAAGCTTCGGGCCTAGATGTGAAAGCTATCATCGATCCATGGATTACCAAGATGGGCTACCCTGTTCTGACTGTTACTGAAGAACCTGGACAAATCAGCATCAAGCAAAGTCGTTATCTCTCCACGGGAGATGTTAAACCTGAAGATGACGAAACAACTTGGTGGGTGCCTTTGGATTTGCAAGGAAAAGTTGGAACCCAAGGAGCACAGCAAGTCGCCTTTGAACGAAAAGAAGATACAATCAAAGATATTGACGACTCTTTCTACAAGATCAACACCGACACTGCAGGATTTTATCGTGTCAATTATCCACCAGCAAGGCTTGCCAAGCTTGGATCACAATTGGATCGCCTCAGCTTGACTGATAAAATCGGTAAGTCTAGACTAAGCTTGGGATTTTTTAAATAGTCCAGATTGCAGTCCAGCATAATACTGAGGAGTCTCCCGATTTATTTGGCCTGTTGAACCATCCAACCGTTCAACTTGTGGTATATTGATTCGGTCGGAAGGTTGAACATATTTAGATGCGAAGCCTAGAGCCACTCACAATCCAGCAAACATCAAAAGCTTTCGAATTTGGACTGCAGCCTGGACAATTAAGAATTCTAATCACGCTCTCTTATCTCAACTTGGTAACTGACTTTGACCTAGGTCTCATTGCTGATGCGGGTGCACTCGCAATATCAGGACAAGCAGCAACTCCAGCGTTCTTGACTTTGGTGCAAGGTTTATCTGATGAATCTAACTACTTAGTTTGGACAAAGATCCTGGGACCCAGTGGCACTATCAAGTCGGTGTTCTCCGATGATGACGCAATCTCGGATGGTATGAAGGCATTTTTACTAAAATTGGTCACTCCAGCGGCGGAAAAGATAGGCTGGGAACAACCTATGGATGAAGATTTTCTTAAGTCTCAGCTTCGACCTTTATTGATACTTTCTGCTGGTATCAATGGCCACAAAGAGTAAGTTCAGAAAAACGTACTGCATGCATAATTCATGGTTGACAAAATATAGAATTATCACCGAAGCTAAACGTCGCTTCGATTTGTACACAAGCGGCAAGGACAAGTCGGTCATTCATCCAAGTCTGAGAACTGCAATTTTTGGCCTTTCCGTTCGATACGGTGGGCAATCTGAATATGATGCTCTGAAAAAAGAGTATCGCGAAACAACTTCCATTGATGGTAAAGAGATTACGCTCCGTGCAATGGGACGTGTTCAAACTCCAGAACTTATCGCCGACTATTTTGAATTTCTCTTCAATGAAGTTGCAACACAAGATGTCCACACAGGTGCAGCTGCTCTTGCGGCAAATACCAAGACACGTTACCAGCTTTGGCAATATATTCAAGATAACTTCGATCCAATCAAGGAGAGGCTGTGAGTATCCCAGTGCAAGCAATTGAGTAATCTTTTCATTTGATAATGTTACTAATCTTTTTTGCAGATCTGCCAACATGGTTGTCTTCGATCGATTTATTAAGCTTTCTCTAGCTACCTTTAGTGATGATGATATCAACAAGCAAATTGAAAAGTTCTTTGAGAATAAAGACAACAGAGGCTATGATCGATCATTGGCTATTATTGCCGATACTATCAGGGGAAGAGCGGCTCTCAAAGCTAGAGATAGGGAGGTTATCCTCGAATGGGTGAAAACCAATGGTTATTGCTGAATTGGGTCGAGCCTTTAATCTTTGTTTGATATGTTATTGAGCATCATACCATTTTTTAGTCTTGAAATTGCTACTGTATCACACAATTGCACTCATTCATTATGCGAAATATAGGTTCCTCTTAGTCCTTTCTGATTGTAGTTTATAACTTGAAACATGATGGTGATATACCAAATGGCTAAAATGCTTTCCGCAAAGAATCGTCAATCCCTGTTAATATCAGAACTGGTCCTTAACCATAAAGTCTGTTTGGTATATATACATTTTTGCGGGTTATTGGTCACACAAAATTATAAGATACGACAACCCACCCACCACTTTTACGCCCTGTAGAAAACTATGAAAACCTCCTGCCGCCCCCGCCTCCGCCCCCGCCTCCGCCCCGCCTCGCCTCAAGAAAAAAGAAGATCAAGAAAGAGATGAGGTTAAAACTTTGAAAATAGAGAATGCAAAAGCAAAAGGAAATCAAAAAATGTTTGAAATGTGAAATGACCAGACTGGGGCACGATCCCAGGACCTTGTCCGTATTTAACAGGTTTTAATTGTTAAGGACACGTGATAACCAACTACACCATCCGGCCGATGATTGTTGATCTAAAGGAGGAGCATTATGGTATATATTGAAAGATTCCAGGGGCTGGTGTTTCAGTGGATGGGGTTGTGGATTTTTATGAGATTATATTGGGAAGAGATTGATTGATATGTATTGATGTGTATTGATATGGTCAATTCTTTTTTTTGGGATATTAATTTATGTTATTATATATCTATCAAATCTTTATGCTTCAATATAGTTTACTGTAAATTATGAAGTAGAGGCTTTCTGTCAGGATCTTTCTATTAGTCTTTTTACTTAAGGCTAGCTTGGCAACTAAAGAATAATATGATGTGTTAAGATTGACTTTCCTATAGCTACCACGTATACTACGTACGTACCTACCTCCTCTGAAGATCAGACAAGGACAAGTTTCTAATTTAGGTTATTGAATTGGTGTAGAGGTATTTATAGAAAAATTCAGATTTAATCTGGGTTTTAAACTTGTAAGTTCTTACTTTTGTGTTTGATTGCCGACGTTGTTTATTTTTTGGGTGCTGTGTTTTATTCTTTTGTCAAGGATAATTATCTTGTCCATTTCTCGGAAGATAAATATAACAACACTCTCAACTCCTCAGAGACGGAGCCGATATGAGCTTCAATAGCCTTCCCTTGTCTTTGTCTCTTCTCGCCGGACCTGATCCGAATTCGGAGTCTACTGTGCTTATATCTTACTTCCTTTGTTATGATTTTCCCCTTTCTTCAGTCAAATGGAAGTCACGCGAAGTACACTTAATACCTCGTTTCTATGCATTTTCTTTGAAGATTTCCACTTCATTGTTTGATTCTCAGACCCGAGAGATATATAAAGTTCTGTAATGATGAGGAAAAAGCATAATTGATTCATTATTTATACTGTTCTGCACAATCACTGGACAATTATAAAAAGTTTCAATATGTCTCCAAAACACGCTGATTGCAGACATGTCAATATATCCGACGAGGAGCACAAATTCGGTCTTACTTCTTTAGAAAACGTACAAGCTGGAGTAGAAGAATTTCATAGGGATGGAATTGTTATTTTTGAAAATGCCATTCCTCACAATGTTGTCGAGAAATTCTACGAGAAGATGAATGCAGATGGAGCCCAGAGATTGGAAGATCCGAGTCTAGTCTACAACCATGGCATGGAAAAGAACTATTTCTCCTTATGTCCTCCTTTATCCAAGGAATGGCTTTCCCAGTATATTTGGGCTAACAAACATGCCGCAGCAGTTATGGAAGCTGTTATCGGAAAACCACAGCTTGTACACGCAGGCAGCACTATCACTATTCCAACACAAGAACCGACATCTCGTCAAGCCGTTCACATAGATTCCTATCACAATCATCACAAATTCCCCACCTGCATCGAGCTATTCATGTACCTCCACAACGTGTCTCCCGAAAATGGCTCTCCGGAAATCTGGCCTGGATCCTACCACAATGGAACT